CATTTTATGGATTCTTTTGTGATAAATGAGTTTCCAAGTGTCCTCCTTATGAAGTGCATGTTTTATTTAGATTCTTGTTAAACGAGAAAATGAGTTTTATGCATTGTATTCCCTCATTCTCATGTGCATTTAGTTTATTTTATATATTTTCTTCATGAGGTGAAATTTTGAACATGCGTAGATGCTACATGAGTTGACTTGTTGAGCACACCTAATGTGTTCTTGAGAAGTTGCATATTGAGCCTGATGGGAAGAATTACTCTAAATATGACTTATCGAAAATGTTGAATGATTGTGATTTGATGATAAATTTTCTGATGTGCTAAGTGATGTTTAAATGATCATGTGGTATTTTCGAGAAGGAAGTTCCTTCAATATCATGAGAAATTGTAATGAATTATGCATAAGGCGGTGGTAGGTGAAGCTCTACTTGATTGTGTTGACACCCAATTTTTGACCCACGTCGGTATAAATTGATTATCGAGCTTCGTGAGTTTTTCAAATTATTTAAGTTAATTAGTTTTATAAATCTTGCGAAATTTTTTTTTAAAAAAAATAAAGAAGTATATATATATATATGTATATGTATGTATATATGTATACGTATATATATATATATGCATATATATATATATATATATATATATATATGTATATGTATATGTATATGTATATATGTATATCTTAAGTTTAGAAAGTATTCTATCAAACTAGTTACTTTAAATAAGCTCGTTAATAAATTTATACCAAATTCGTTTTAAATCAATCGGCTATTATTCAAATTGAACCCTTTTTCCATTTAATTTGGACGAGCCAGGTTTGGGCCTCTATCCAATATTCAGGCGGCCCACTCCCCTCCCTTTCCAACATTTCTCTAGGTTATTAATCCTCCCCTGGCCCAAATCCATCATCCCAGCCCAATCCATTTTCCCAGACCCAAATCTCCCTCTCCCTCTCTCTCTCTCTATATTACTTTGTTTGTGCGTTCGTTTACATTCTCGTTAGTATTAGGATGGGAAAACTCCAAACCCCTCGGAACGCCTATCTATTTTATCAAACTTAAGAAGTTTAACTAAAGGTGGAATTTCAAAGAGATAAATATTTCAAAACTTGTCAAATTTGCCTAGATAAAAATCAATAAGTTTTTAAATTGCAAAAGTTAAAACAAAAATAGTCAAATAAGTTAATCGTCGGAAAACCGTAGTTAGCGGAGTGTCTTAGGTGCTTTAAACACCTTCCTAAGACGCTAATAGGAATTCCGAACCCCTTTAATATTTTCAATCGATTTTTTCTGTTAAGTCTTTTGAAAATAAAAGTTTTCTTAATTTTCCTTAAAAATTAAGTGGCGACTACTAAAAAGTCTAAAATAAAACAAACTCTTTTAGAAAATTATTTTTTGATAAAACAGAAATGGCGACTCCGCTGGGGATTTGGAGGATTCTAACCTTAAGACTAACTCTATTTGACTAACTTGTTTAATTGTTTAATTTTCTTTAGTTTTAGAAGTTTCATTTTCATGGCATAAATTCCGCCAAACGGCAAATAGTTGCATTAGGAAATGGAAGTTACGCGGCTTACCGTGACTTTCTTCAGAAAAACCCAAGAAGTCATTTGGGAGTATCGAATAAATAGTCGAAAATGCGGTCATCCGATGTTATTTGATAGCTCCACCCCGATGTTTGTCCGACTCGGGTAACCGTCTATTTGAAAACAATTCTAGAAAAGCCTAAGTTAGAGCGAAACCAAAACCAAAATTAGGCATCAGCCTAGGACGACTTAATACCCAAGGCGTATTAAGTCCATTTTAGTAGAAAACCACCAAAATTGCGTCTAAGGTCTTCGACCTCACGACGCATCACGTTATTTGACATTCGAAAGTGTATGTGTGAAAACCAACTTGGGGATAGGGGAAAGTCTAACGGGTTTCTGTTTTGCAGATATGGACCGCTTCCCGAAATTCAACATGGTCATCTCCGCGCCACCCCAACTAACAATGTGGCACAACGACTTAGACGGAGATCATAGGCGGACTCTCAACAAGTATGTAGGGGCCTTAACCGAGCTAATCAACATGGACGGTTGGCCAGAGTTGATCGAGGTTCTTACAGGGTACTGGGACAGCCAGAGAATGGTTTTCCGTTTCGGAACGGCCGAAATCACCCCTACATTGGAAGAAATAAGAGATTGCATAGACACTGTTGGCACGGGTCTAGAAAGAAGAGTCCGAAAGCAAGAGGACGTGTTTATCCCCAACAAACCTTCCGTTGAGAACATCTCGGATTGGCTAGGATTAAGAAAGGATTTCACTTATTGGTGTCAAGATTCCCACAAAATGTTCAGAGATCTCTACGTCAGATTTGGACACGCGAGTCTCTATGCCGTGTATAATCGGGAATTTAAGATTTCCTACAGGGAGTGGAACGAGCTCCGCCCGTTGGCATTTGCCATAGCTTTGTTGGGAACAATGGTCTTCTCGCACGGCCTGAGCCTGAGCATCAACACCAAAGTCGTAACACTTGTCCAGACGTTGTTCAAAGGGTACGAGAATCAAGGGACGACAAAGTACTACTCCATAGCCCCGGTCATATTGTCAGACATATATCGCGCTTTGGGTAAGTGCAAAGAGGGACATCGGCACTTCCAGGGTTGTAATCTGCTCCTCCAATGTTGGATTCTCAGCCACTTGGCGAAGGGTGCCGGAACTCGAGAACTGCACACTCTCGACAACAAGAACACCCTCAAGGACTTGAACGACTTGTTATTCTGGGCAAACATGAACAATCAGAAAATGAGAGGGAGATCGGCCCAAATTTTCTCCGAGTTGAGAGAAGAGGACCTCCAATGGATGCTCCACCGCTTCTATCCAAAGAAGTTGTCATAGAAAGTCGAAGATGTGTCGTGCTTCCTCTACCTGGCATTCGAGGAATTCGCCCTTACGCGCCATTCCGAGTCTTGCGACAGTTCGGAAGGAGGCAGACTGTTCCTATAGAAGCGTATTATGGCGCTTATGTATACGATATTGGGGACGACAGGGTGGACGAAACTACAGAGATGCTCAGAGAATGGAAGAATGCCAAGCGCATGGGCAAAGACAGAGTCGATTCAACGCTGGATGTGACGAAGGCTACAAAACATGGTTGAAGAGGGATATACAAAACATCTCCTTTCAAATTCCGCGTAGCTTTCGCAGTGTGACAGACAAAGAGGCCAAAGCAGAGGCTGAATTACGAGAATTAAAGGAAGAAGCTAATGAGGTCTACGCCAAATTCGTAGAGAATCAAGACGCACTCGAGAGGACAACTCGAGAGATCGAGAGACTGAAGCAAGGGTATGAAGAGTTCGACAACTAGATCCAGCAGAAAATTGAGAGGATGCGATACGAGAGCCTGGAAGACAAAGGGCGTCTGGGCGAAGACTTTCTGTTGATGCTGAGGTACATGTTCCAACAGCACAAAAACCAGAAAAACGACGATGGAGCGGGATCGTCCGGAGCAGCATAGTGGATATCGCCCCTACGCGGGTTTTTCCTTGTTGTATTCGCATTGTTTTAGCCCCTGCGTGGGCCTGATATTATCGCACTTTCTAAATAGCCCCTGCATGGGTTTGTTTATTTCCCTTTTAAAACATTTCACTCATTGTTAAATATTATTTTGGGGGGAATCACTTGACTGGTTTAAACTCACACTTACATCATTCGAATGCGTTAGGCCTACCCTTGGCACAAAAGGGTCCCCATGCATGATTAGGACGCGTTATCTATGTGCACTTAAATGTTTATGTGTTACGCTGCTTTGAATGAAGATATTGTAAACCCACTCCAAGCCCAAAACTCTAAAGAGTATACAGAAGCCACTATTAAAATGTCCGACCAAAATTTCTGAGTCTCTAGTTTCTCACGCAAAATCCATCTCCCATCACAAATCCTAAATACCGCTCTATCATCCCAGGGAAGTTGAATCACCGCTATGGACAAAGGCAAGAATGTCCAGACGGAGCTAACTGAGGAGGAACTAAGAAGAAAGATCGAACGAATCACTCGAGAGATTCAGAGGGTTAAAGAAGAAGGACTCAAAGTAGACGTGACCACGGCGATCTACAAAGCTGCGGTCACAACCTTGGATGAAGATCTGGCGTCACAGATAAAGAGAAAGAAGGAGGTTGAGATGGAAACCGAAAGTCTAAGGAAAAGGTTGATCTTGCTTCGTTTGGAGACACACGAAGGAAAGGCGAGAGAAGCGAAAATAGATATCGAGACTGCCGTGTCGTTGGCCAGAAGTGCGACACTCGACGAAGAATTGGCAACCTATAGCAACTCAAAAGGCGGAAAACATCCCGCCCGTGAACAGGGAACAGATAACAGTAGCCCCGGCTGTGAAGTAATTGAGGAGGACGATGAAGAAGAAATCGTCTACAAGCCTCCATTTCCGACTGTCTGACGCAGCCACAAGACAAGAAATCGCCAAATGTTGTCTTCTAGAAATTTCAATGTTGTTTTTCAATTCCCTTATAATCAAAATGAGAGAATGAATGAAAATGTATCCGAACTACGTTGAGCCTGAATTCTCCCCGTGAGATACGTAGGCAGCCTTCCTGGCCCGGCCCCTATCACAGAAATTTTCATTCTCCTCCATGTTTCGGAAATGCGAAGATGAGATCAACGGACGTCGAAAAGCAGCTTCAAGAAGACCATAGCTCAACGTGATTCATCTTTCCCGAGATGACGTCAAAACAAACAAATTCCTATTTGTTCAGAATATATTTCCGTCCTCATTCGTGGGTTAAGATATCCTCAAACAAAGAGACCTGTGTGTTTATTTGTTTTATGTGCGATATTATGCATTTTGTACTCCGGATATGCACTAACAAATTTGCCTTTGAGTTGTTTTTACCTCTCAGGTACCTCTTACTGATCTGTGTCGATAAAGCTGGCAGATAACCACCACTTCACCAGATCAAAGGGTCGCGCAGATTCCTTCCTCGGATCAAACGCAAATACAGACATGGGCGACAACAATGAACAAATCAGCCTCACAGATGTCGTGGTGGCTCAGCAAACTGTGGCAGATCAGAATGAGCTTATTGCGCAGTTGATGCAGCAAATAGCTGACATGAGGGTAGAGATGCAACGGAGGCAAGACACCCCTCCGCCCGGATTCGGCCCCAACTTTCTCGACGCAAGACCCCCTACATACTTCCCCTCGTCCAGCTCGGATCCTACTCAACAACATCCACTGACACCCGTGCACAACCCCTCTGGGGTAGACATGACAACCAAAAACCCCAATACGCGACGGTATCCTATCAAACTCCCTCCCCACTTCCAAACAATCCTCCGCAAATGCCACCACATCCTCAAAATACTCAAGCAGCCCCACTACCCCAAAATCAAACTCAAAATCCCACCGCCTTCAATTCCCAAACACCACACCCCCACTTAAAACAAAATACCAATCCCCAAAATTATCCGCAAAACTATCAAACCACACAGAATGTCCCAAGCCCTTCCATAGCTGCACCCCTCCACAAAAGAACTGCTTTCCAAGTCCCTGTTCAGACCGAGCATGAGGTGCACGGCTCCGAGTTGGACCATTATGAGGAGCAAGAAAGAGAGTGGAGGGCGAGGGAAGAAGCGAAGGTAGACATAAAGGAGGAGGTTAAGAGGGCGATGAGAGAATTGCAATGTACTCCAGACGTCGCCGGGTTAAGCTACGCAGAACTATGCATCCACCCAGACTTGAACCTACCTGAAGGGTTCAAGATCCCGAAGTTTGATACCTTCGGAGGGGTGGGAAACCCCATGGCACACCTGAGAGCATACTGTGACCAACTCGTGGGAGTTGGTAAAGATGAAGCCTTGCTGATGAGGTTATTCAGCCGGAGCCTATGTGGTGAAGCCCTGGAGTGGTTCACGTCACATGAGACTCGACAGTGGCCCAGTTGGAGTGCACTGGCTAAGGATTTCATCAATAGATTCACATATAACGTCGAGGTAGTTCCTGATCGGTACTCCTTGGAGAAGATGAAGCAGAAGCCCACAGAAAGCTATCGAGAATTCGCGTACAGATGGAGGAAAGAGGCAGCAAGGGTGAGGCCTCCGATGACAGAAAAAGAGATTGTAGAGGTGTTCGTGCGGGTGCAGGAGCCCAAGTATTATGACAAGATCATCTTGTTAATTGGCGCCAAGTTCGCCGAAATAGTCAAAGTGAGCGAGACTATTGAAGATGGCCTGAAGTCGGGGAAGATAGCCCGAGCATCTGCATCACCTGGATCTTCCGGACTGGTAAGGAAGAAAAGAGAGGAGGTTAACGCTATCTCGCACGGGGGAAGAAAAATCCCCAGAAACTTACCAAGTCCCCAAGGCCGCTCCAATCCTCCATTAAAGACTCATCGAGCCTACCATCCACACTCAAGTCACTCCAGCCACTACAATGCTGCCCCCCATTATCCAGATGCCCATATTGTGTCGTATCAAAATCCACCCCCGATTCCCCAAAAATTTCCCTCCACATATCCAAACTACCCCCAAGCTTATCAAGTCCCTCCCCATTACCAAAGTGTCGCTCCTAGCTGCGCTAATGTACAACCAAGCTATCGAACACCGTCTCCGACATATCAAATACAAACCCCAGCATATCAGAACCCCCATCCGAATTACCGAGCCCCAATGCCAAACTACCAAACAAATCCCCATCCCAGAGCCCAAGCTCCACGACCAAATGCCCGCAGTTATCAACAAGTCCCTCCCCCACAGCAGGGCGGGTATGATCCCCCTCGCCCCAGGTCTGAGAAGAAGCCCTCCAGAAGCTTCACCGTATTGGCGGAAAGCAGAACTAAATTGTTCGAAAGATTATCTGCAGCCGGATACATCCACCCTGTGGGCCCCAAGCCCATGGATGTTAATTCCAAATTCTACAGACCGGAGCAGAGATGTGCTTACCATTCCAACGGTGTTGGACATAATACAGAAGATTGTATCAATCTCGAGCACAAGATCCAGGACTTGATTGACCAGGAAGTGGTCTCTCTTCAGCCTGCGGCGCCAAACGTCAACACGAATCCGTTGCCAAATCATGGGGGTGGAAACATCAACATGATAGAAACTGACGAAGATGAGCGTGAAGCCAAGAGAATTACTCCTGTTGTTCAGGAAGACTTGGAGAGGGCTGTCGCTTCTTTGAGCGTCAGGGAGAAAGGAGAGTTTGTCATTCTGACACCTGCAAAGGCTGTTGCTTTGGTGCCCGCAAAGACTCTCTCCAAGCCCAAGTTCGTTATAGAAACGGCCGTGGCTCAGGGCATGACTAGATCTGGAAGATGTTACACTCCTGATGAGCTTGCTCTCGGAAGAAAAAAGAAAGATCATGCCAAGAGACCGATCAGCGAAGCAGAAGCTGAGGAGTTCTGGAGGAGAATGCAACCCAAAGACTACTTCATCGTCAAGCACTTGGAGAAAACTCCAGCCCAAATTTCGGTGTGGGCCCTACTGATGAGCTCCTGGTCCCACAGACAGGCTTTGATGAAAGCCCTGGATGACACATATGTTCCCTCGGGTACGAGCAGTGACAATGTAGCTGCTATGATTCACCAGGTCATTCGGGGACACCTTATCAGTTTCTGCGACGATGAACTGCCGGCCGAAGGGAGGGCCCACAACAAAACTCTACACATCAACGTGATATGTCGCGGAAAGGTCATCAACCGTGTTCTGGTAGACGACGGATCTGGTTTGAACATATGCCCCCTGTCCACATTGAAGCAGCTAAGGTTTGACCTCGGAAAGTTGGAGCAAAACCAGGTCAATGTGAGAGTATTCGACGGTATGCAGAGAGACACGTTGGGAGCTGTGAACCTGACCATCCAAATGGGCCCCGCAGAGTTCGAGGCAAAGTTCCAGGTGTTGGACATCGACACTAGCTATAACTTTCTGTTGGGAAGGCCATTCATCCACGCGGCTGGGGCCGTCCCCTCCACTCTCCACCAAATGATAAATCTGGTGTGGAAGAATGAAGAACTGGTGATTCATGGTGAAAAGGGTCAATCGGGAAGGCAAGTGCCGGTCTCGGACGAAACACCGCAAGGTTCAGACTTCTACACGGTGGAGTTGGTAAATGCCACCGATGAGGGCTTGGCCCCGCAGAACCCCATGCCGGCCGTGTACAAAATGATTGCCACGGTAATGCTGCAGAGTGGATTCAAACCAGGTTTTGGATTAGGAAGGAATGCGCAACGGATCATCGAGCCAGTTCCGATCCTTGCTACAGGATCAAGGTATGGTTTGGGGTACATCCCCACAGATGATGATATGAAGATGAAGAGGAAAAGGGATCAAGGGTTAACTAAGCCGATCCCGCATCTCTATCAATCCTTTCCAGTCCGGGAGCGTGCCGAGCCTGAAGATGATGGGGAAGGAATCTGTGACCTTTTCCAGGAGATCAATGCCATCATCGAGGAGGAGGCTGAGCCAGCTGGCATTCGTGACGCTGAACCAGAGGAGGTGCTGCTGAATTGGACGTCCACGCCAATCCTGATGTCCCGAACTCTGTTGTAGAAAGGAGTTATTTTGTGCATATTAAAATCGGTGGTAGTCCGAAAGAGGCCCGAGACCCACCATTTCTGCATTTTCTTGATTTTGAATTTTGTTATGATGTTTAAAAGGCAACATGGCCTCGCGCCATGACCCAAGTTTGCATTTTTGATTCGATTTAAATGAAAGCCTCCTTATTTTGACTTTGTTTATTTAATTGCGAGTTATATTTTACTTTCCTAATTTTGTCTGTTTATGATTTCAGTAACGTAAGTTACAAACCTGCCAATGTCATGTCATGTCATGGGCTAAATGAGCAAAACGAGGCAAATGACGATGATGTCGATGACCACGACGAGGGAAATGGGGAACCGGACTATGTGGCTGAAGAATTTCGACAGTTCGAGAACCAACATAAACCAAACATGGAGGAGACAGAGACGGTGAATTTCGGCGATTCAGAATATGCCAAAGAGGTTAAGATCAGCACTCATTTGAATGACACTCAGAAGGAGAGCCTGGTTCGCCTGCTTGCCGAATACCATGATGTGTTCATTTGGGAAGTCAGTGACATGCAGGGGTTGAGTACCGATGTCGTGTCTCATAAGCTGCCTATCAATACAGGGTTCGAACCGGTGAAGCAAAAGACTCAAAAGTTCAAGCCTGAATTAAGTCTAAAGATTAAAGAGGAAATAACTAAGCATATAGAGTCCCGATTGGTGGAAGTGACACAATATCCAACCTGGCTGGCCAATGTTGTTCCTGTCGCCAAGAAAGATGGAAAAATAAGAATTTGTGTTGATTACAGGGATCTCAACAAGGCTATCCCAAAGGATAATTTTCCGTTGCCAAATATCCATATTTTGATTGACAACTGTGCCAAACATGAGATGCAGTCATTTGTGGATTGTTACACGGGTTATCACCAAATTTTGATGGATGAGGAAGACGCGGAAAAAATGGCCTTCATCACACCTTGGGGTGTATATTATTACAGGGTATTGCTGTTTGGTCTCAAGAATGACGGTTCTACTTACATGAGAGCCATGACGACCATCTTTCACGACGTGATTCACAAGGAAATTGAAGTGTATGTGGACGACGTCATAATCAAATCCCGCGGGAGTTCGGATCATTTGACACACCTGAGGAAATTCTTTGGACGTTTGCGTCAGTACAACCTAAAGCTAAATCCTGCCAAATGTGCTTTTGGAGTCCCAGCTGGGAAGTTGTTGGGGTTTATAGTCAGCAGAAGAGGTATTGAGCTCGACCCTTCCAAGATTAAAGCAATTCAGGAGTTACCTCCGCCGAAGACGAGAAAAGAGGTGATGAGTTTCTTAGGGAGGTTAAACTATATCAGCCGGTTTATAGCACAATCGACGGTGGTATGTGGGCCTATCTTCAAGTTGCTGAAGAAAGAT